TGCGGGTGGGGCACGGCGGAAGGGGCAATGAGAGAAGAGGTCGAGGCCGGACATGGAGAGTGGGTGGGCCGGAACGTGGCGAAGATATTGATGGATTTCTTTTCCTGGCTAAGAAATGATTATGACGTACCTGGGCTACTCTGGGTTACCTCAACAAACAACCGTGCTGACTCTACTAGGCTCTGCCATACCGACGTGCTGTCATGCTATAACAAAGCATACATTTGGAGATGCTGGTTTGTTGCCTCCAGAAGGCAGTGTTACATTATAACAACTAGGAGTCGTGCAGCAATAACGTATACTAAGACATTAAACCTTGTTGCCACGTGGAGGCCGTATCTCTAAAACTAATAGTAATATCTCTTTAATATTTACAAGGTAGTTTATGATATTTAAGACAGTATACATTTGAATGCCGCACAACTAACTTAACCTACTGTGGCGTCTTTGCCGAGGCAATACATCACAGCCGTAAACCGTTTCTAATTTGAGTATTTATTTGAAATATGCTCCAACACCTGTATACCATTTATAATAATTACAATAAACAATATTAACCCATTACCAGAAGGATTGTTCCTGGTCACCACCACCACCACTGGCCTGATAATTTGATATCTTATTCGGTGTGATGCACCAGTTGCCTACGTGAGCATACAAGCGAGTATGTCGCACCTCCCGTCTCGACGTAGCACGCCGGCTTCAGTTCCCTGCCTCAGTAGCCTGTGCATTGAAATGCAGCTCCGCGTACAACCCACACGACTTCCTACCGACGCGCCCGAGAATTAGAAGGAGAAGTTTAGGTCCGGGGTCCGCTTATATTACTTTTTGGGCCTGCTGACGGAACTGCGTCATCTCGCTGTTTCCGCCGACGCGTTTCCACAGCCAGCATGTCTACGAGGTTCACAAGTTCGTCCCGAGTGGTAAAAGGGGTTCACAAGTGGCCGCCCAAGACACGGCACCCCTTCCCTTCCACTCCCTAGGTTTACCGTCGTTCAGCCCGGCGCCCCTTCCCGCCAGCGCTGCCCGCTGTCGCAAACTACTTCCTCGTGCATTTCATGTGCATGAAATCACGTGGCTAATATTTTGTCACGTTTGTGCAAGGCGACTGATATGGGGCCACACTACTATATGTACAATCTCGCTTATCCTACGGCCTATCTAGCTAATTATTTTCAATTCCTGACATCCTAATCTCTAAATTTACTAGTAGTGTCTTTGCCCTCATATGAAAATGTTTGTTTTTAATAGTTTGAGGCTCTTCAGTCTCTCTTGCATCAACACGCTGTACCCTACATCACGGCGCTGCACTACGGATACACCCCTTTTCATGTACCACCGTTTCACCCTGGAAAACAGCAACGTTCCAGGAAAACGTTGAGCATACAAATTAACAGCAGCGTCGAAATTTCTCCCAGCTTCGCCGTAAATCAAAATTATTTCAATTTTTTCTTGCACATTTACATAATCCATGATGCAAAAGGAGGAATGTTAGTTCAGAAAGGTAAATGTTTAATAAATATCGGATCGCCTCTAAAGAACTGTAGGCACGGACCATGGAGAGACGCTACCAACATATTGCCGAGTGTGCCCTGAGGCCACACTCAAAACGACTCCAATTACAGTCGGAAATCTTCGGAAATCAAATTTTTGTGATTATAGTGCCACCAATCAAAAAAAACAGAAACATGTTTCAGACAAAACTGATGCATTCTTGTCCGTAGAATCCGAATCTGAAATAAAAAAAATGGGGGTTCAATTTAAGATTTCAATGTTGCCCACCGCCCCCACTCGCTGGGGGAAGGGAGGGGTGCTGATTTTAGCATAGAATGATTCCCCCTTCAAAACTGTTAAGATTTGGTCCCGGCTCAATTTTTCGTACATCGCGTATTTTTTGAGTTATTTCAAGTTGTCAAGTCAAATGGGACACCTGTGTATATGTGTGTACATATATACACATACACATAGAGGGTGATTCAGTCCTCGATACTCGTACAGGATCCTCTGAGTTATTCAGTACACTAAGTTATTCATGAATGGAAAAGGAAATCGTGTAAACATTAGAAATTTTAAGAAAAGTTTTGTCTTCTTATCCAACGAATATGAAAGGAGAGAGAAAAAACTATTATTTAAGTGTTATTTAGGATAGTTTATCATACTTGCTATGCAGCCAGAGTTTCGAATTTTCACCTCGTGTAACAGAGCTTCAAGTGTTCGAAATGTCCTCCTCTTGCTTGAATACAACATAGGCATCTGCGTCGCACGGCCTCTGTGCCGCGCACAACTTTGCCGTGTTGTACCTTTATTTTAGATATCATTATTAAAATGAATATTAATTTCCTTTCTGATGCCCAGTATAGTTTCTGCCGCATCGCTTTCAAAGCGCCGAAGAAAGTCATCACGATCCTCTACTTAGGTAGCATAAACGCGGCCTTTAATCCCTAACAACAGAAGCGTTGGGAGTTCATGAGCCCGCCCGCAAAATTGAAAGAAAACCATGGAATGTGGTATCTCGGCATCTTTCCATTTCGGGAACGAGTGATTATACTGCATTAGAGTGTCTAAGGGCTGGCATGTCACATGTCGGTATTATTCAGCATTATGTTCGTTCCTTTCTCCTTGCTATGTTTTCACGCCCTTCGAAAAAATTAGTGTACCTTGCAAAATACCATGCACAGTGGTAAATAATTCCTTGACTTGTTTTTCTCTAAACTCTTCCTATGCAAAGGGCGTCGGGTTATTTGGAGTACTCAAAACCTGTTGTGCATATGGCGGGATTTAAGTAGTGCGTAACCTCAACCGCAGAAACGTATTGTTTTCTCCCCACCCTGCTTCCGAAAAAAATATTCTACCACCTTTACTAAAATATTGTATATTAAAAAAAATATATTAAAGTTTTTTGGTACAGTAGTGATTAACTTTGTATGATGGTTAACAATAAATATTACAGTTAAATGATTTAATGGCTTCATTCAGGTATTTTATTAACATTTTTTTCCGGGACGCGCGGGCTCCTGTGCAATTGCTTATTTTGATAGTAATTCCGGCCATCTTCGTTCACAGTAGAGGAACTCGTTTTTCCTTTGCCTCCACGAGGGAGCAGAGAGGATATACTCCAACTGGTGCCCTGTAGATGAGCAGCTCAACACTGGAGTCTCAAAATGTTATTCACAATTCGTGGAAACACCAATGCGGCGATGTGAATTCAGCGAACTGAAACCTGTACAAACGTAGCGGTCTGTAGTCCTATATATGCTTGGGAGAAACCCGCGCGATCGATAGCGTAGCACCGCTGTGAACCTCCTGCGATATTTTGAGAGAAGTGAACACGGACTTGGGCGCGTCACGTAATATTATGATGCAAAGTATTCCGGTATCTGAAATTGTTCCCACGTCGGGTCAGACAATGTTATTGACACTTGACAGTCAGCCATTGCTTATCGCATTTGGGAATTATGAAGATGAAGCTTGTAATGCAGGCCGAAAAAATAGCGGGAATTTTGTTGAAAAATCTGCCATTCAAAACTATCTTTTAATGAGGACATTACAAGATTTCAAAAATATTAGTCGATTTTGTGTCAAATAAAGGCAAGTTTAAAAATCATATTTTTCGTGGAAAATTGCTCCAAATTTTTTCCTTATTTGTTCTCGAATAGTGCGAAGTACGCTTTTACAAATAGCACAGGACCAATTTTCGTTGAACTCTCTGAATTTTCAAAAGTTACAAATGCGAGAAAGTATGTGCCGTATTTACATCACTAGTTTAGGTTGTTTTATCTGATAAATATTTATTATACATTAATAAACACGGCCACTGTCAAATTGTCCGCCGTATGAAGTATGTTAGTGGTTACTAAATAACATTTTAAAACATCGATGGTTTTGAGACCGATGTATTAGTAACATAGGTTTTAATTTTGAACATCGATGTGGTCATCAGTGCCGCAGGCCTATTTGCTTCACGAAAACAAAAATCCAGTTATTATTCCCTGAGGAAGGTCGCAGGTGGCGACCGAAACGTCGGCACCTTTGCCATGGACGTCACCCTGACAGCCAATTAAATGCATTCACCCCGTCAACGAATTCGGCATAGCAGCACAGTTGTTACCTCTCCACGTTCGTATTCTACCCGATATCTGCCGTCTCAGAAAAATTCGCTAACCGCGTTCCCGGCAGTGGCACCCTTATAAATCTTCGTACAAATTCCTCCAACTCGTCTTCTAGTCAGAATCCTTGTTTTGTGTGTCTGATACCGAAAACTCGATTGACGGCAAAACTTCCGTCCGCTAGTCAGACAATCTGTCAGACCGTCAGTCAGTCCGTCCGTCTGTCTATCACTCTCAAAGCTGGCAGCTAAATCGTTCAGCCGATTTTCTTCAAAATGGATGTTCCTGGATCGGTTAAAATGAATTCTAGAACCTGTAAGATTAGAAATGATGTGAGTTTTGGGTGTACTTAACATGAATCCTGGACATTTTCAAATTTTTTTCCAATTACTGAACGAGATTTTTTATTAAACTTTGTCCTCGGACATAAAGGACGTTTCAGAGTATGGTGTAGGTCTTTTCGTTGAAATCCATTATTTTTCGGAAACTGAAAAGAAAAAGAGAATTTTTGCGGCTTATTCTAGAAATATATTAAATATAGAATTTTTTAACTGAATGTAATCTGTTCTAAAAGACCTCTTGACAAACATGTTCTTTTTTCGAAAATGGGTGTATTTTTTCGAAATGTGAGAAATCAATTTTTTGCAATTTTATTGTGGTATGTTTTTAAGTAAAATGTATTGTTGACTTACCATCTTATTTTGTCGTGAAAGGAGTATGAATGAACTTTTATTCAGTTTTGTACATTTTATTCAAATGTGAAATTAAAATCATGTGTGTATTTTTTGTATTGTTCACTCCTTGTCTGAATGAAATATGTATGTTGTTATGCGCTAAATAAATATAAATGTTTTGCATAGATATTTAAAAACAATTCCCATATTTCTGTTCCAGAAAGAAATTTCGGGCTGAACTTCTTAAAAACTTCTCAACTCTCACTGAAGAGGATTTGCCAGAAATAATTCAAAATAAGGAAGTTGTGATTTCAATGAAAGTTCTCTGCCATTCAGGGGAGCATGTCTTGGTGTATTGTGTGCAGAAACTTCCTATTGTATTTGAAGTGGATGGAATTATGTTTCCAACTGTTTACATGTTATGGAAAATTCCAAATCTTCTGTACACATTCACTACATGGCCTCAAGTTCTTCCTAAGCTTACTGGAGGAGCAGATCTTATGTTGCCCGGTGTTGTACTGAAAGATGGATTTCATGTAAAAGCGTTTGGTAAATTAGAGAAAGGGGAAAGAGTAGCTGTAAATTTATCCAACAATAGCGCACCTATTGCTGTAGGACGAACTGCTCTATCTAGTATGGACATGTATATGTCAGCAAAGCGAGGAAAAGCTGTAAACATCCTTCATTTTGTTGGAGATGAATTGTGGGGATATGGAACAAAATTACCCACTCCTAATCTAGGTCCTCCTGAAGGATTTGAAGTTCTTGGGTCAGATGAAGAAGCTGAAGGAACTGGATCAGTAGAAAATAAATCACCAGACGAGAATGAGGGATTGGAGCAGTCCAAAGGGGATGAAAATATTCCCAATGTATGCGATTTACAAATAGCATCCAATGAACCTGTACAAGATGAATCTTCAGTGAAGCTACAGGAAGATAATGCAACAGATGATGGTGATATACAAAATAATTTGTCAATCAGTAAGGAAGAGCCTGAAACAAGTGGTGTGTCTGGCAGCACTGAACAAGGAGAGAGAGAAATTATGGATGAATTAGTAGAATATTGTTTCCTAAAAGCTCTTAATACATCAGCAAAGAAAGCAGATTATCCTATGCTATCAAGCAAATTTTATAAATTACATATGTTACCTGCTTGTCCATCAGATAAAACATTAGACATTAAAAAATCCAGTCATAAAAAATTAAGTGTATTTTTGAGTAAGATGAATGTGCTGGGTGTAGTTTCTGTGAAGGAATTGACTAAAGGTGTGGAAAGTATTATGAATGTTAATATCAGCCATGAACTGATACGGAATTTTGTTGACATCTTTGCTCAAGATGAGGCTGGTGCAAGTAGTTCACAGATGGTGGCCTTGGACTCTAATTGCCGTCCAGAGATTACTGAAATGTATGTGGTCACTGCTGCAGTGCTACCAATATTCAGCAAATTTGACTTGAAGTAAGTTAATATCTTGGCTCCAAAAGGTATTGGTAAGTATAAATATCAGTAAGGTTCATGCAAGTTGTTATTAATTTTTATTTATTCAGAAAATATAATAAATATCTGAAAACCTTGTTTTGTCATAATGTTCTTGATTGAACTGAACCACTCATTAGAAAGATGATTGAGGGAACAAAAGTTAGCGAATGTAAGCTCACATACATACAGTTTATAATTCTATTTTGAACCAAGTTCTTCTTATTACATAAAATATAATTTTATTGTATTTCTTTTCAATATTTTTTCAATTATTAAGCATCTTCCCTCTTTATCAATTGTCTATTCCGTATTGCTAACACCAAATATTGATAATTTTTTGTGCAATTCACTTGAAAGGGCAGGGCAGCATAGTAATATTTTTTCTGTCAGAGAAAAAATGAAGCTTGTGTAAATACTTTCTCAGTTTGCATATACGCTTCCCCCGGCTTTCTATTTACATATTGTAGTTATTGGAACATCTTTGTACACCATTTCGATGTTAATGTTCCGTTTGTTTTGGGGGAAATTCTAAAATCTTTATTTTGGATATATATTCGATTGTTTTGCCTCAATCACTTCAATTGAATCGTTTATTCAAACTGTCAAACGCCAAATTCCTCATTTCGAGAAAACGAAGAAAAAGTGTCGTAGTGATGTAGTGTAGTTTTTTTTTTTTTTTTAATATTAAAGCATATGGTTGCGTAGGCTTTCGCGGCGAAGATTTTCTAAGAAAGGTACAGGAACTGTCGCCGTGATCTCTACCTGCTCTTGTGGTGAGCCTGTTGTGAGAGGAGAAGGGGAGGGCGGGATTGGTCAAGTAACCGACCAGTAGGATGCGGGCGGGTGGTGCAGAATTGGTGGATAAAGAACGGAGCACTAACTGGGGAGAGGAGCAAGTTGGCGGCACGGGAAAGGTGGCAGAGGTGGTAGAGAGAAAGAGAAATACTAAGGCGGATTAATACGAAAAAGGGAGAAATTCTCACGAGAGAGCCGTCTGAGAGACAAAGGACCAACAGCCAATCAGTGGCCGCGATAGGGTGCCCATCATAGGTCAACCGTACGGGAGTGTCCTCTAGGGCCGGCACCGGATTGGCGGGCCGTGGAGGCCCGTTTCCAGGTGGTGCTGAGGCGGAGACCATAATCTCGGTTTAAGTTGATGGGCCTCCTTGATATTTCTAGGGCTTCTTTAATAACTTGTGGCCACCAGCGGTCCTCGAACTAATCGTGCGGGTCTTGCTAAATTCAATAAGTTGACCGGTTTCGGCGGCATATTGTGCTAAGGCCGATTTGTGTGTGTTCTTAAGCCGGTCGTTGCTCATGTGTTCACGCATGCGTTCATCTACAGAGCGACCCGTTTGACCAATGTAAACTAACCCGCAACTACACGGGATTTCGTACATCCCGGTGTTCTGTCGTAGATCAAGGCGGTCTTTCACCTGGACCAGGCTCCTCGCGATCTTGTTGTAGACGTAGAACACTGGGCGAATATCGGCTCTACGCAGTAGCCTGCCAATCCTGTCCGTGATACCGCGGATGCAGGGGAGGCGAGCTGTCTTGCGAAGTGGTCTGAATGGCTCGTTGGTGACGTGTTTAGTTGCGTCATCTCGTGCGTCTAGGTTCTTTAAGGCACGTTGTATGTCAGAATTGCTGTAGCCATTGGCCAGGAAGGTCTCTCTGAGTATCTCTTTTACTTATTGAGACTCTCGATATCGCTGATAAGGGCGGCCCGGTAAGTGAGGGTGTGTGGGTGTCCGGTAAGTAGTCGTTAATTACGACGGCCGTTCTATCCCGAGGGCTGTATTTTGCTGTCGTTCCAACACACGTCCCCACGGATGACCGTCACCGCTGCGGTAGCAACTGCGATTTGTAGTCTGCCAGAAGATACAGCCGAGGACATAAGAAAGGAAGGAAAGGGAATTTCTGCCTTTTTCCTATTAATCCGCCTTTGTATTTCTCTTTCTCTCTACCACCTCTGCCACCTTTCCCGTGCCGCCAACTTGCTCCTCTCCCCAGTTAGTGCTCCGTTCTTTATCCACGAATCCCGCACCACCCGCCCGCTTCCTATTGGTCGGTTACTTGACCAATCCCGCCCTCCCCTTCTCCTCTCACAACAGGCTCACCACAAGAGCAGGTAGAGATCACGGCGACAGTTCCTGTACCTTTCTTAGAAAATATTCCCTCCCGAACGTGTAACCTAACTGACCCCCTGGGGTGGTGCTAATAACCCTTCAAAGTAGCTTGGATTACATATGACATCCTTAGTCTCGTGGTTGTCTGCATGTGACCACTTGCGAGTTAAAAGGAAATTTCCTTTTAGTGTAGAGCAGAAACCAGTCAAACGTTGCTTGACGGGTTTCTGTTCAAAACCCGATTTTTAAGGGTTCTTCAAAGTTCATTGCGAGAGTGGCAAATAATTGATTTCTGCCCAAAACGACGTGTTTATTCTCATAGAAAATATCCTGTTGCTAAGGCTTTTTTAATTTTTGGCGTTTGACGGGTTTCTGAAATAAACGATTCAATTGATCTCCTGTTTTCTGTATGTAATTTACATGGAGCAATGTTTTTTTATATGTGGTGAATCCATGATACTTGTTTTCCTTAGCATTTTTTGATTGTGGTCAGGTCAGTCATGTGAGCAATTTTTTGCCACTCGATGCCAAACTAATTTGTGACATCAGATACTCCAGAAACAACGCAGAGAATCACTGAAGCTGGTGTTAGACTCGTAGATTGTTTTAACCATGGACTCGTACGGCGTATATTCTATGTTTTGGTATTATCCAATTCGATTAATTTAGGTTTTATTTCATTTAATTTCCGGTAAAATTATTTTATGATACGGATCACTTAAGTATGGCAGGAACATTTTTTGCGGTTTATTGGCTCAAATGATGTGACACCTAATCCCTCGTAGTTTCATTAAGAATAGCAATGACTAATCAATTATTGCAACCTCTGGATGATGGTAGTTTTACCCTTCATGTGTCTGGTAATTTTGACACTATTGATAGTAATTGTATTATTGATGTAACTTTCTAATTATAAATGCACCAGACTATTTCGTGTCGAGTTATGTGTACTCTCAGTATCAAAGCTACGGAAATGGATATTCGTGAAGATATTCCTAGATTTTTAGTTCAAAAAATGCCCTATCGTATGAATGTTGCTAGTTATGTGGTACCTTAACACGTGATAGCTGTACTTTATCAAATGTTGACGAAAATCCAAAGTTAACAAACTTGGCACAATCTCTCTTTTACGGTATTTGATTATTGATAGTCTGAGCACATCTGCACAAACAGTTTATTTTTAAGCAGGATTTCGCCAACTTGAACGCAGGCTATTGTGCGATTTAAACAGGATGACTCGTCACAGATCATCAGCGGTGACACGCTTATCCAATTGGGAGCTTCAACACCAAATTTTATAGTCATAACGAAGCTCCTGATTAGATAACCGCGTCCAGGTGACTTATCTTTCTCAAGTAACTATATTTAAATCTGACATTGCTATACTGTATCTAATATTTTTTCAGTAATTTACGGAGTTCCTTTTTACATTGAAGCAACCTTATGAAGTCGGGCGTTTTCAGATTTTTTATTTTCTCGAATATGTACATATATGCGGAGTAATATATGTAGTATAGAGAAAGTTATGTAATGCTGCGGAAAATCGATTTCGAGATTTGTCCCCTGACACCAAACTTTTTTTTCGCCAGTGTCATTCTCACAGTTGATGCGACCTTAAATAACAAAGTGTTTTTTATTTATTTATTTTCAAAACGTCTGGCCAGTGTTTGTGAATAACACTAGCGCGTAAACCATGCGTAGAATGTTTTGCCAAATTGAACCCCCCGTCGATCTGGCCTGAGTCGAAGCTCTGCAATTTTGAACATTCATTAATTTGTAGGGTTTTATTTACATGAAGCCCCTGGGACATTTTCAAATTTTCTCTAATATGGCTTGAAATTTTTTCTTTAAATTTCTTGTAGAATAGAGTAAAATACCTTTTATAAAGGTGCCATATCTCGTATTTTCACTGATAACTCTCAATTTTGAATAATTGTAAAAATTTAATTTTTTTCGGAGTCTTTCTACCACTACAAAATTGAAAATAAAGAATTTTCTTTCAAATGAAATTTGTTCCCCATTATTAGTTCTTGCATTAAGGTCATGTACATTTTTTTGAAAATTTTAGTTGTTTTCGCGCAATATTGCATGAAATAAGTGCAATTTTAAAATATTCTCAAAAACGGCTCCAAATATTTGTTTAAATTTTTGGAACGGATAGCGCCTAATGTACTCTATAATTTAAAAATATATTTTTTTACTTGTTCACGTTGTACATATTTATATTAGCGACGATTTGTTTACATTATTGCATTTATGAGTACATGTGCCTTAAATAATATCATATATAGTTTTTTCAAAAACTCAAAAGCTTTCTGTGAAAACAAACTCAAAATCCCTCATTCCACACTCAATCGCCATTTTCTAAAAAACGACTTCAATTTTTTTTTAAACTTTTCGTGCATATAATGTTAATTGCACTCTTTGAGATTACATAATTCATTTTGCTGTAAAATATTGTACTTTCCAAAATTACACAAATTATATATATATATATATATATATATATATATATATATATATATATATATATTTCACGCTGTTTATTTGCAGATTTCGAGAGATATGTAAACACTATTGTATTTGTGAGTGGAAATACTTCAAATGACTTTCAATCGAGTTTTTCGAAAACTGAAAAATTTGCTATGAAAAAGAGCTTCAAATTTCACATTTACAGTATCGCTTAAACGCGATTATCTTAAAAACGGCTTCAATTTTTTCAATGAAAATCGCCATTTATGACGAGGTGTTATTCGTCTTCAAAATACTTAAAGTAATATTTCAGTTCCACTATTGGTAAACGGAAAAATTGTGAAAAAAAATACACTGGCGGCGATAGATCGCCGTTGG